CTACACACACAGAAGAACAAGATAGTCTTTGGGCTGGAGAGATGGCTCAGCAGTTAAGAGCACTGACTGCTCTTGCAGAGGACTGGGTTGATTCCCAGCACCAACATGGCAGCTAACAACCATCCACAACTCCAGTTCCAGGGGAATCCAACACCCTCTTCTGATGTCTGCAGGCACTGCACAACACAGATGCACTTACACACATGCAGGCATAACATTCATATACATAAAATAAAAATAAATAAATATAAAATAGATAAGATAGTTTCAACCTTAACAGCTCAAGGAAAAATAAATTTCATGAGTGAAGAAAACAAAGAAGAACTGGCAAAGAATCAAACAGAATCAAACACGTCCAACTCAATAGACTAGCAAACTCCTAAGATCAATAAAGGAGAAAGAAAAGGCCTTTGACAAAGCTCAGTGCCCCTTGAAATCCTGAAGAAACTGTAAACAGAAGCAGCATATCTGAACATAATAAAGGTTACATATGACAAACCTATACATGACAAGCCAATATTGTACTAAATGGGGGAACTTGGAAACATTTCCTCTAAAATCAAGAATGAGACAGTGTCCACTTTCTCTACTCTCATTCAATGTAGGACTTGAATTTTTAGCCAGAGCAAAAATGCACGGCAACAAAGAAATAAAAGGGATATAAATCAGAAAATGTCAAATTGTCCCTATATGCATTTGATATGGTCCTATACTTAAACCCATAGAGATTCCACCAGAAAACTCCTTTGTCTGATAAACACTTTCACAAAATTTAGCTGTATACAAAAAGGAACACTTTTAAAAAAATGCTTAAAAACCCACGGTTTTTCTATATGCCAATAATAAACATGCTAAGAAAGAAATCAGAAAAATAATATTATTCACAATAGCCTCAAAAAATACTTAAGAATAAACTTGTCCAAGGAGATGAAAGACCTATACAACGAAAATGTTAAAACACTGAAAAGCTGGGCATGGTGGCGCACACCTGTAGTCCCAGCACTTGGGAGGCAGAGGCAGGTGGATCTCTGAGAGTTCAAGGCCAGCCTGGTCCACATAGTGAGTTCCAGGACAGCTCGGGCTATAGGGAGACCCTGTCTCAAAAAGACCAAAAAAAAACCAAAAAAACAAAAACAAAAAAAACACTGAAGAAAGGATTAAGACATTGAAGAAAGAAATTAGAATATGGAAAGGCATCCCATGTTCGTGGATTGGCAGAATATTCTGGAAATGACTATATTATTGAAAGTAATGTATAGATGCAATGCAATTTCCATCAATACCAATAACGGTCTTCAAAAAATGGAAAAATGGTTCTAAAATTCACATAGAAGCACAGAGAGAGAGAGAGAAACAAACAGTAGCCACAGTAATCCTGAGCAAGAAGAGCAATGCTAGAGGTATCACCATAGTGATTTCTATTTATACTACAGATCCACAGTAACAAAACATGGTACTGACACAAAAACAGATACACAGACTGTTGCACTAAATTTTCCCCTTCCTGCTCTCTGTTTGACCAGCCCTCACTCACTCTGGGTCTCATGGTCCTGACACAGATCAACAAACCAGCATAACACAGTTCTATTTGAATTTTGCATAGTTTACGTATTTGAGAGATGACTTACAAAGAAACAGTTTCTCATAACCCCCATCTCATTCAAGCCCTGCGCTGCGGCAGCCCCAGCTGCATGCCTCACTCCCCAAGTTCCCAAAACGGCTGTGCTAACTCTCCTTACTACAGCAGGCTCTGCCCCTCTTCCCAGCGTGCTTCTCATCTTGTCCCTGGCTGGCTTACTCTTTTCAGAGGAATGAGTAATTTTGGGGCTACACAGACCAATGGCACAGAACAGAGGATCCTGCAATAATTCCATATTGCTACAGCTGCCTGATTTTGGACAAAGTTGTCAAAAAAACATGTGCTAGAGGAAGGACAACAAATTGTGTGAGGACAAACACATCCACATATGGAAGAATAAAACTAGATCCTTATTTAGCACTGTGTACAAAATCAATTCAAAATAGACCATGGACATCAACATAAGACCTGAAACTTAGAAACCACTAGAGGAAAATACTTCAAGATAAAGGCAGGCAAGACTTTCTGAATAGGTCTCCAAGAGCCCAGCAAAACATCAAGAATTGATAAATGGCATGGCATGAAATTGAAGAGCTTCGGACAGCATCAAGGAAACACAGTGAAGAGATAGCCTAAAGAAAGAGAAAGTCTTTGCCAGCTATTCATCTGACAAGGAATCAATATCCAGAATACATAAACCTCAAGACATGGTCCCCTCATGGGAGCTGGAGCTATGGGCCCCTCTTGTGAGGCAGGATTGTGGGCCCTTCCTGTGAGCTGGAGCCATGGTCCCCTCCTGTGAACCTGGAGCTATGATCTCCATTTATTGGGCAGAGCTGTGCTCCCCTCCTGTAAATTGGAGCCGTGGTTCCCTACCATAAGCTGGAGCTGGGGTCCCCTTCCATGAACTAGAGCCATGGTCTCCTCCTGTGAACCTGGAACTTCAGTCCCCCTGTATGAGTTAGAGCTGTGGTCCCAACTGTGAACCATGGTTCCACATTTCTCTGGGGTGGGCTGATGGTAAAGGAGATTGGAGGATTGAGGCCTTCTCTGACTGGCTGCATCCCCTACACTCCCTTCTCCCTAGGTCCCAAGTTGTGTGTGGCAGTGGTTTTGCCTCTGTGTTAGACTTATGATGGGGACAGGGGAAGTTTCTGTCATTTGCAGTTTCAAGTCTTGGGAGAATTGATTCTCAAGAATGAACTTTCCACCTCCCCTAAGGACCAGCTAAGGTCCTGACTCTACATGTGGTCCTGGGCACCCAGGCCCCGACTTCGGACCTTCCCCACTCGCAGCCACCAAGAGGTTTTCCATGATTTTTCCATTACTCTTCTACAGTCCCACTGTATCTTCTCCAGTGCCCTACAGAATACGTAAAGAACCTATCTGAACTTCAAGAGATAAAAAAAGAACATTAGACAAGAAGTTGGGGTTTGAAGGATAAATATATTACATTATATTACAAAATACGTTGTACTGAGGGCTGGAGAGATGGCTCAGCAGTTAAGAGCACTGACTGCTGCTGTAGAGGACCAGGGTTTGAGTTCCAGCACCCACATGGTGGCTAACAACAGTCCAAAACTCCAGTTCCAGGGGTTCTGACACACTCTTCTGACATCTGCAGACAAGCGTGCACCTACCTATGTGCAGGCAATACACTCATATACATAAAATATATAAAATATTTTTTAAAAAATTGTTTCACCCAGGTGTGGTGGCGCATGCCTATAATCCCAGCACTTGGGAGGCAGAGGCAAGCAGATCTCTGTGAGTTCGAGGCCAGCCTGGTCTACATAGTGAGTTCCAGGCCAGCTGGGGTTACAGGGAGACCTTGTCTCAAAAAAAGACCAAAAAAAAAGGGGGGGCTGAAGAGATGGCTCAGCCGTTAAGAGCACTGACTGCTCTTGCAGAGGACCCGGGTTTGAGTACCAGCATTCCACATGACA